AAAAGAAAGCAAACATAAGTCATAAAAACCATATTTTAAGCCTTCCTCAGAAGAAATGCTTCTGTAACTCACAGAGAAAATAATGTATTAAAATAATGTTGTAACAAGCTACTGCTAATATTATTATTGCTATTCAAGTTTTCCAAATTCAGTGATTAAGAATTGCTGCAAAAGTGAAAAGGACCTGAGATTGAACAATGGAGCCCACCATTGCTAGCATTCTAAAACTCACCCAGAAGTAATTTGCAGAGCAAAACATAGGTTTTTAATATCAGATACATTGAGAAAAAATTAGGACTGTCCAAAAATGAAGTACTCTTCTTGCAATACTAGTATTAGAGATATTTGATAACACCAACAAACACAACAAACATGTATATTTTGAACATCTACTATTAGAAACTACTAGCATATAACTGTACTAAGCATGCAATGTTTACTGGCTAATGAATGGTTTATAAGGACATCTGATGTCTTAAGCAGAAACGTTTCTCAAGAAAGTGTCCTGTAATAATTTGCAAAATTTTCAGATACTCCTAATAAACTATTGATAGAGAAACATGTACAAATACTGTAAGATTTTCTGTTATTTTATACTATGTATGGCTTAGGAGAGCCTCTGTTCCCTTCAAACTTACCTCAGGAAGTTTTGATTGACCTCAAGTGTTCTTTATAATTATTATTTCAATTAAGTAAATCACATAAAGACAGCTCTCTTGAAATATCTTAACTTTTCTTGATATCCATGTAACACAACTAAGCAAATTTGGATTCAGAATTTCCTAAATCATAAGTCTCAGTCAGAGTAATCTGATTTGGGATGATAACACATTTCTGTGCCTAATGCTTAATTGAGAAGAGTATTAAAGCAAAGACAGGTGATGAAAGTTCTCTCTTTTCCTGCATCTCCATAACTTGGTTGAACATGATAGATTGGCTAGCTTATTGATTTAGGAATGATCAGCAATATTACTTTCCCTAAAGGAAAATTAAGATAATTCATAACAGATTTGAAACCTGATTTCTAGCTCCCTGTGTAAACGTGTACAAATTTATAAGTTTGACTCAAATATCTTCCTTAGAAATATCCCCTTATGCATGCAGATAATCTCAACTTTGGAGTTCCCCAAGAATGTAATGATTGCCTTTATGCATATACATTATATTGCTGGTGAAGCAATAAAGTGTAATAGTTGAAGGCTTAGATCCTGATTAGATATCACCCATGGCTTTTACTAGCTCTGGATCTTTAAAGTTACTTAAACTGTCTGTATCTGTGTTTCTACATTTATGAAAAAAGAGTGAGAATTAAGTATGTTAATATGTACAAAATACTTAGAACAGTGCCTGGCAAATAATAAGCATTGAATACATGTTAACAGACAATAACACTGTGTAGTTTCCCAATTTGAATTCTTATTTATACCATGGACCCAATAGTTCCCTGTAAGGATGAAATAAATATGTGCTCAGTAACTGGTCATTTCTGTTCTGATTTCTTCTCATTAAAATTTGTTTCCCAGAGGGGCCTGGGTTGCACAGTCTGTTAGGTGTCCAACTCTTGATTATGGCTTGGATAGTGATCTCAGGGTAGTGAGATGGAGCCATCCCTCCCCCCAGGCTCCGTGGTCAGTGTGGAGTCTGCTTGAGACTTTCTCTCCCTCTCCCTCGGCCCTTCCTCCCCTCCCCCCACCACCACGGCACTCGCGAATGTGCTCTCCTTCTCTCTCTCTCTAAGATAAATAATAAATAAATAAATCTTTAAAAAATTTTGTTTCCCAAATTTCAGTCATTCACTTACTATGTTTGTGGGTTTTTTTCCCCCATATTGCACACTACATAGTACTTATTTAATTATATTATTTATATTCTATTTTAATGGCAAATGTATTCATACGACTAACAAACGTCTTTCTGTGGAAAGTTTTCCTGCTAAAACTTAAGATTGTGTAAATGATAATTAAAACATTCATCAGCTAAAATCATCTCTTGTGCTTCTGGCAATATATACACAATGCATTTTAAAACATTGCCTCATAAGAAAACTTTCTATAGTGACTAGAAGAGACTATTTAAAGACTGGTGGGCCAATATACCCATCAAAATCTAGTAGTGGTAGGACAAAGGTAGGCATGGTTTGGCCATAGAAGCAACCGTAAGACTGACACAAGTGAATGCCCAGGTGCTTATTCATCAATGCTGTGGAGACATCACTTGATACTACTTTCTCAAATATTTACAGCTTGAGGTATTTTATAGGCTAGGAGAGTGATTTTTAGCCCAAGACTGGAAATCCAACAAATTTCAAGGAAATAGAACAAGAAAAAAAGAACCCCAGAATTTTTCCACCCTTGTAAATTGAATGTAAGGCATATATATTAAATTTTCAGTGAAGATAATAAATCCTGGTTTAATGACTAATAGTTAAGAGAAGTAAGTTCCAAATGCAGAGCAGTACAAAATAAATGCCTGGTTCCTTAAAAGGTTTAAATACCCAGTATATATATGAATATATATGTTCATTTCAACATGAATTAAGATCAGCTATGGTTGTTTTATTTAAGGTAATGCTAGCAGCTATAAAATTCTCTAAAATACACAATGGCTCCAAGAAATAGAAGTTTATTTCTCACTACAAACTGTTAGAAGGTAATTTTCTACAGGAACTCTCTGTCCTTGCTACAACTTTTCTCTAAGTATAAAATTATTCCAAAATAAAAAGTTTACTAAATAAAACAAAATGTGTTTTCCTGGCCTATGTTTGGCTTTTCTTCACATGATGATTCAGAGTTGTCTTCCATCTTGCCTCTTCAGCCTCCTGCACGGCCTCATTCAGTGTGCACTCTGAGCCAGCACGGGAGGGAACACGGAGGGGAAACACTCACTGGTTAATAGCTTTGAATGGGGAAGGCTTCTCATCCTGTTGGTCTGAACAGTTATGTGACCACTCCTAACTGCAAGGCAGGCTGAGAAATGCAGTCTAGATATATGCCCTGGAGAAAGGACAGAATTTTGGTGAGCAAGCATCAGGGGCTGCCGCAGTCCGCCCCCACCGCCTTCACCGTATGTCAATTTGCACCTGTCTTCAACACTCAGAAATACATCTATCCACCTCCCCAAAGATGACCAAAAGTCCCACGCAGTTACTACATCAAACTCCAATAGAAGAATAGCAGTGATAAATAACTTTCTCCATCACACCAATTTCTCTCCAGGGGGTTAGAGGTTTAGAACTTGAAAAAAATGAATTCTCTGTTCTGTTTTTCCCATCACATCCAATAGACAATGGTGGAACGAGAACTTGATAACTGGAAACACCCTCTCATTTGTAAAGGAAATAAATGGTGACCAGCCAACAGTCACTTGACCCAAATGACTATTAAAACTTGCTGGGCAGGCCCTGTGAGACCCCTGCCTTTGCCGCAGAGTCTGTTCCTGGCTTTCCTGGTTCTCCTTTTTGGGATAATTCCGCATGCCCATTGTTCTCCAAGGTTTCTGGCTCTGCTTCCTGGAGGCTCCTCCTCCCCCGTCATCCCCCACTGGCCACATTGAAAGTGAACTTGGAAGAGAATGGCTCCCTTGGAGGTTGTACTGCTTTCACAGTGCAGTTTTGTGGAGAAAATATGGGGTTCAAGGGTTGTATAGAGTCACAGGTTTTTGAGGCCAGGCTTTTGGTTTCTTTGCTAAAACAAGTCTCTCAAAATCTTAAAAGGCTTTGATTTAATCCCTTCAGTCAGTTACATGTGCCAGTAACCACAGTCAAAGCCATCCAAAGTTCTTTTCTAGACAGTTCTCAGACCTGCTTTATTCTTTAATACCTCACACTCATCCTGCAGTCTCTCTTTCTCTCTCTCATTCTTTCTTTTCCTACTTCCCTGTCTCTTCCGCCTTATACCCTGCCACCTTCATGTAAAACACTGGAGAATTCCTGCCTAGTAAAATAAGATTATTAATTAGAGCTTCTATTTAAATTATCAAACAGTACAATATTTCATTATAAATTCCTTCTTCTTCTCTTTTTGTTTTATTATAGAATCAGTCTATGGTACTTTTTGGCAGAAACAACAATAGGCACTTTAAAAATTTTGTTCCAAAAACACTAATCCATTGATTATTGTGTATTTAAATACACTCGTAGAAGAAAGCATGAAAATTAATAGAACATTGACTCTGAAAAAGCTGAGCTCACATCATATCATAAACACAAGGTGTTTCAACATTAAATATTTTGTTTCACTGCAAGTCACCCTGAAATATAAAGATATAAAACAGTGATTTTTTTTTTTTTTTTTAATGCTTACAGAGTCTGGTCAAAAATTCAGGTAAGACATAGCAAGAACAGCTTGTGTCTACTACACAGTGTTTGAGGCTTCTACTAGGACTTGAAGCATGGGGATGACTCAATGGCCAGCAGAGGGAACCACCAGAAAATATCTATACTCATATGATTGGCAGTTGATACAAGCTGTCTGCTAGAACCTCAGTTAGTCTCTTAGCCAGAAAACCTATGAGGTCTCTCCCTGTAATCTCTCTGTGTGAGATGATTTGGGCTTCATCCCAACATGGTGAATATTTTCCAAATGTGAGGGTTCTAAGAGAACAAGGAGGAAGTACATGACATTTTTATGCTCTACTATTTTAAGTCACGTAGTGTCACTTCTGCCATGCTTTTTGATTGAAACAGGCATAAAGCTCTTCCCGGGTTCAAAATGAAAGAACATAGACCCCCCACTTGATAGGAGGAGTGTCAGGGTTACACGGTAAGAGGAGTACGTTGAATAGGAGATATTGTTGCAGCCAGCAATCTTTGAGTACACATTTTATTCAAATTAGTCAATGTCTAAAACATTTACTTTTCATTTTATGTCTACTTTGTTTGACTTCTTGAATGAATCTGAATATGGTTATTTACCTGTGTACTTTACTAAAATATGCTCTTTTAAATCATTTATAGCTTTTTTTGGAGAAAAATAATATATCTAATGCCAATATTTTTTCAGATATCCCGACACAGAAGGAATCATTCACAGCATGTCTTGAAAGATGTCATTCCTCCATTGGAACAATTGGTAAGTTTATTTCCCTGCAATACTGTATTATTTATCTACTGCTACAGAACAAATTAACCCAAAACTCAACAACTTAAACCAGCACACATTGTTATCTTATGTTTTTGTGGGTCAGGAATCCAGGCATGGTTTAGCAGAATCCTCTAGTTCAGAGTCTCTCAGAAGATTTCAATCAAACTTAAAGCCAGAATTGGGGTCACATCTGAAGGTTTGACTGGGGAAGGATCTGCTTTCCTGTTCATGCACATGGTTGTTGGCAGGGTTCAGTTCCTCCAGGAATGTGATCCAGAGGCTGCTCTCAGTTTCCTGCCATGTAGGCTTCACCAAAATGGCAGCTTGCTTCTTCAAAACATGCAAACTGAGAAGGCAAAGGATTCTGCTAGCAAGACAGAAGGCAAATCTTTTATAACCTAATCATGGTAGTGATATCCCATCAACTTTTCCACATTCTCATGAGCAGAATCAAAGTCACCAAGTCTAGTCCATACTCAAGGAGAAGGGACTACACAAGGCTGTGAATAACAAGAAGCAGAGATTATTTGGGGCCTACTGAAAATTTTGACAATTCTTTTTAAGAAAAAAATTAATCCCAGGGTGCCTGTGTGGCTCAGTCAGTTGAGCATCCAACTCTTGGTTTCAGCTCAGGTCGTGATCTCAGGGTCATGGAATCAAGCCCTGTGTTGGGCTCTATATTCAGTATGGAGTCTGCTTGAGTTTCTCTCTCCTTCTCCATCTACTCTCCTGCTCATGCTCTTTCTCTCTCTCTCTCTCTCAAATAAATGAATAAATCTTAAAGAAAAAAGGAAAAAGAAAAAAATTAATCCCCTACCAGTAGATTCTAAGCCCACTAAAGCTGGGATTTTTTTGTTTCCATTGTATCCTAATGACTAGAAAAGTGCCTGAAACATTGTAAATAACATGAATGAAGTATTAGAAATATCTTAAAAACATATAAGCCCTTGGGGCCCCTGGGTGGCTCAGTTGGTTAAGCGGCTGCCTACCTACAGGTCAGGTCATGATCCCAGGACCCTGGGATCGAGCCCTGCATTGGGCTCCCTGCTCAGGGGAGAGTCTGGTTCTCCCTCTCCCCCTGCTGTGCTCCCTTTGCTGTGCTTTCTTGCACTCTCTCTCTCTCTGTCAAATAAGTAAATAAATAAAATCTTTTTTAAAAAGCCAAAAATACAAAAAACATATAAGCCCGAATTTCCTGATATGTTCTGACACTTCTTTCTACTAATGAGTCCTTTTTGATAAACATAATACCCCTTTTCTCCACGCTTATACTTCTTGTTGGATTTCACATTGGCCAACATGCTTCCAGTTCCATTGGCTTATAGGATACAGCACCTAGATGACTTTATTCCTATCTTTTCCCTGCTATTCCATCCCCATTATCTTTTTTTAAATTTTATTTTATTGTTATGTTAATCACCATACATTACATCATTAGTTTTTGATGTAGTGTTTCATGATTCATTGTTTGCATATAACACCCAGTGCTCCATTCAGTACGTGCCCTCTTTAATACCCATCACCAGGCTAACCCTTCCCCCCCCCCTCCCCTCTAGAATCCTCAGTTTGTTTCTCAGTGTCCATAGTCTCTCATGGTTCTTCTCCCCCTCCGGTTTCCCTCCCTTCAGTTTTCTCTTCCTACTATCTTCTTTTTTTTTTTAATGTATAATGTATTATTTGTTTCAGAGGTACAGGTCTGTGATTCAACAGTTTTACACAATTCACAGCGCTCACCATAGCACATACCCTCCCCAGTGTCTATCACCCAGCCACCCCATCCCTCTCACCCCCCACAACTCCAGCAACCCTCAGTTTGTTTCCTGAGATTAAGAATTCCCCCATTATCTTTGGGCTTTCTCATCCTCAACACCAAATATATTTATTTTTCTAGTTCAGTTCTTTTATTTTCATTCATTTTGCATGTTCTAGATCTCCCATCTCCATTCTGGCCATTGTTCCATTACTTTCTTTGTTTTAGACTAAAAATTCCTTATAAGGATTGTCTCCTTTTATTGTGGTCAGGTTCTCCCCTCCTTTATCTCTTGAACCAACTCCATTTAGACTTTTATCTCAACCACTTATTGCCTATCGAGGTCATCAATTGCTTCTATATTGCTAAATCTTTTGGTAAAGTCTCAGTTTTCTCATTAGACCTTGCAATTTAACCCAGTTGATAACTCTCTTTGGAACACTTTCCTCATATGACTATCATGAGTAAACCACTTTCTTATGGATCTCCAATGAATTAAATAGCCACCCATTTTCCATTACCTTTGCTGGTTCATCTTCATCTTGTAGCTCAACTTAACTTTTCTTCTTTCTCTTTATGTTTATTCCCTACAGTGTATCATTCAGTGCTTCGGTTTTAGGTATTATGTTACACTAACCACTTCTCCAGCATGGCCCACTGCTCTAAACTCCAGTACTGTTTGTTGTGGCATATTCACTTATATGTCTAACATACATCTCAAACTTAACATATCCCAAGCTGATTCTGATTTTCTCCCAAACTTGCTTCTTTCAACCTTCTCCATTTCACTAGATGCTAACTCCATTCTTCAGGGTTCTTCAGTCAAAACTCTTAAGGTCATCTTTTCTCATAACATAAACTTAAACATGTGTTAAGCTGTTTGCTCCATCTTCAGAATACACCAGAATCAGTTCTCTTCTCACTACCTTTATGCCATGTCATCTTCAATAGCCTTCAACTGATGTGCTGCTTTCACCCTCTCTTTCTGCTTTTTATTTTCAAAACAAGGGCCAGAGTGACCTTGTTAAAATGTAAGCTAGGTCATGTCACTCCTTGATTCAAATTCTTCTCTGGCCTCTGGGATCTCCCAGGGTAAAGGCTGACAGACATGCAGGGTTCATCTTACCAGACCCTGCCGGTATCAGCTCTCTCTCTGGCCTCACCTTTTCCCTTCTTCTCCTGGCTCATTCTGCTCCAGCCAAGCTGACCTCCTTCCTTCTCTCACGGGGCCATTACACCTGCTCTTTCCTATGCCAAAATGATTCATTTTGTGCCCAGAAAATTGTAAGGCTCATTCATTCATTTGTTTTGAACCTCTGTTCAAATACCACCTTTTAAGATAGGTCTTTCCTAACCTCCCTAAAAACAAATAAACAAATAAGAAAACACACCATTGCCATTCACGCTCCTTTTCTCTTATCCTAATTTAACTTTCCCCGTGGAATTTACCACCATGTGGCATGCTATACAATTTCTTTTTATTTGTTTTTTTGTTAGAATGTTCTGTGAGAGCAGGGGTACTGTCTCCTATATTCATAACTCCATTCCCACGATTATAACACTTGCTAGAACATGGTAAGAACTCAGTAAATGTGTGTTAAATTAATGTACAAATGGAATAGTTAACAGTTTTTACTTTTACTTGCAAGTTTGTAATACACAGATCTATACTTGGGTACTTTCTCTTCATTATCTCATCGTATATCTTGAAGTGCTAGCCAGTCATTTGTTCTACTGTGTCTCCTTGTCATCTTAGAAATGAATTCTCCCAGACTGAAGCCATCATCACTTTGTTCCCAAACTGGTTTCCTTTTCCATCAAGCCTCTCTTTACAAGTAGCAACCATGCCTCCAGGCTTAGAATGCATTTTCTTGGATCCTCTATTTTATCCATAGCCCATTAAGCAAGTCATTATTTTCCAAAGCAGTTTCTCTGCAATGGGTGTGGTGCCCACATTTTTCTTTATGGTTATACACACATCCTTGCCCCGGCCTTCAGATGCTTCTGATGGCAGCCCTCACCTCTCCCCTGGACTCCACTGTGCCCCTCCCACTGATCCTGTGTAGCAATTCCATACCAGTCTTCTGGAAACGGTACCTTCATTACTTCATTTTCCTTGTCAAAGCACTCAATAGCTTCTTATTCTCTATGACATCAAGTCTATAGACTTCTCTCATGGTTCCTGATTTACCTATTTATTATCTACTCCCAAATACACACCCTCAAGCTAGGGATGGTAACATGATTAAGCCATGGCTCTTACCCTAAGAGCGCTTGGATTTTCTGTGACAATTAGTTTCTTCATCTTGGCACTCTTTTGTATTGTTCACCCTCAGTTCATGGGTAATATACTTGTTCCATGGTTACACTGTAAATACTTTGAAGTTAGAGGGTCATGACTTGCATTTTCTTTATTATACCATACTTCCCCTTACATTGCTTTTGATACTAGGGCTTGCTCAGAAAGGACATGTTTGTCAACTGATGTAATAATAAGATATGAAAGGTGTATTAAAATTATATTGTTGATTCAGATGTTCACAAATACATGCCTGCTATTTGTAGAGGTTCTTTACGAGAAAGATGCTCTAAAACCTGCTGGGGGGAGGAGGGGAAGGGCAGGGGGAGAGAGAGAATTCCAAGCACGTTCCACGCCCAGCTCAGAGCCCAACTTGGGGTTGATCTCATGACCCTGAGATCATGACTTGAGCCGAAATGAAGAGTCGGTTGCTTAACCAAATGAGCCACCTAGGCACCCCCCTAATTAAATTTTCATTATCCATTACCATTCACGCTAAGGCTTGAATTATTTTCTAAAACCTTTAAAGTTTTCTTTGTGTCTGACTAATCTAACCTTATATTATTTTTTACCTAGACACACATATTTTTTCCCACGAATCTGGTATGTTCCTTACTTTCATCTCTACTACTCCCTTCTTTCACACTATTGCTTCTGGAGTCAGCCAGAGGTTCTCACAATAGTTTCCCTTAGCAGTACCAGTCAGGATGAACTATTATAGATACAATAGTGTACATTAAAACATTTTAGAAAATAATAAAATTCTTTAAGTTGGTGTTATTACTCATTATTTTTACCATATGGATTTTTGAGCTTATTTATGTCCAACACCTTTTGCTATATAAATCTCATTTCCTTTATTTCAGAACTCCCCTGAACATTTTCTAGAAATCATGAGAAGTCTTGGCTTTAAGCATAACTGGCAAAAGTATCTCATTA